CATAGTTGGGCAAGAAAAAAAAATAATCGCAAGCATAAACAAGTGAACACAATTATCTATAGATAATTAACGAAAAAACTACACAATGTCCACCAAGATGGAAGTATCAAAGAGGGAAAAAGGAGCACCTACATCTTTCTTCTTTCACACACATCATCTGATCATCGCCAACAACCTTCTCATCATGGATCACCACCAAAGGAACACATTTGAAAGACGCATCCCATTACTGTATGGTCCAGTTGTTCAGAAGCCACAGTAGTATTGGCTACAATAAAAAATTAGAATGCTTATCATTAGTATATATATGAAGAAGTAAATAATTTAAATATTTTTAATATTTGACAAAAATGGAGTTAATTAATTAAAGAGGGTACATACTATTCATTTCTTGGTGCATTGATTCGACCAGTCATACTGAAGTCCGTATCAAAGCAGCACCTTGGGACAGAGGACATGTTTAAGGATTCAAGTATGGTGTCTTCATCAGCTCCAGCTATAGCCTCAGTCACCAGAATTCTCACCTCCTGCAAATTTTGCAGCTTCACCTTTTTTGACTCCTCCACATTGATTGTGTTTCCCACCATTTTCATAGAAAGCACTGCAAGTTGTTTCAAGTTTACTAGATCTCCAATGCTGAACTCTTGAGGATCGTTACAATCAACTCTCACAATAAGCCCCACTAATTGTGTAAGACGAGTTAACCTCCTAACTCCCTTCGGGTAATAAGTTAAACTAGAGCATAATGGAGTACAAAGAACCGTCAAGTTGACTAGATTTTCCACCTGATCTGGCAATCTTTCTAGATTATGACACTGGTACAAAACTAAAATTTGCAAGTTGTGTAATCTACAAAGTGCTTTGGGCAATCTTTTCAGATGAAAACCATATTGCAAGCAAAGGCTTCTCAAATGCAACAAGTTCCCTATTTCTTCTGGAATAGTGGCACTACCGTAATTCCTGATGCTCAATACCCTTAAGCGCTGGGCTTCATTAAGCAAATTACATAAGTCCCCATCATTGATTACAGTATCCCGACTATTATAACCATAAACATCGAGACTTCGCAATTTTTCTACATCAGAAATAGATTCAGGAAAACAGTGGCCCCTTGCAATCTTTACTGCCAAATGCCGACAAGTTCTTTCTGAGTTCATCTTCATGCTTTTATCATCTTTTGAGACCTCCATTTTCTGAAATTCACCCTTTGTCAAAAAAAGAGCAAAGTCATGTACCAAATCATGCATCTTACAGCTAGCGTATTGAGCATATTGACCATGGACAGGTTTAAAATCTCCAATTTGGAGGAAAGAGCGAGCCTCTAAGCACTTTAAGTATTCAAGGCCTTTCAGTTCCTGTAACGTAGCATCACCATCATTAATGCCTAAGTAACCTAGTGTCTTCCATCTTGCAATCAATTGATAAGTAAAATGAACACCGTCTTTAATAAAGGAAGCAAAATACTTAAAGCATTGTTTTACTGGTGATGGTAGATCATAATAACTCAACAATAGAGGAACAAAAACATCTTCATGTACCACATCCATCCTCCATAACTCACTATTCAAGACATCCTCCCATTCTTTTCTAGTAGTTTTAAACTGTAAATGACCTCCCAGAGTCTTTGCAACAAGTGGCAGACCTTTGCATTTTTCTGCAATTCTCAACCCAACTGGTGTTAAATCTTCACAAGTCTTTTGGTCCCTTTCTCTTAGTGCTATTTTCTTAAGGATGGACCAGCACAAGTCTTGGCCCAGAGTTTCTAAATGAATAGTGTGAGAACTCCCCATAACTCTTGAAACAATATCCTTACGAGTAGTCACCAAAATTCTACTTCCTACAGCACCTCGTTTGAAAGTGACATTCAGTCCTCCAAAGTCTTCATAATTTTCTGTCCATACATCATCCAGGACAAGAAGGTATTTCTTTCCTTCTATGGACTTGCAAATTCTTTCTAAAAGAGCATTCAATGGAAGTGACTCCATTTGGAGGGCTGCTAATTTATCTAGGCCTTCAAGTTCTGCAATGATCGTTTTTGCCACTTTACTCTCATCAGAAATGTCTGAAACATATGCCCAGATTCTGGTAGTGAAATGTTGTTTAACTTCTTCATCATTATAGATTAGTTGGGCAAGAGCAGTCTTACCGATACCTCCCAACCCTACTATAGAGATGGTTTGACAGCTCTCTCCTTCTTTGCTAGTCCCACATAGCAAATGACCAATTATTTCTTTCTTTACCTCATCCCTACCAACGATGTTTGACCCATCAATAAAACTCGTGCTTTCTTTTCGTTTTGGCAGTCCTCTAGGCATATCTGTTAACTGATACCTTACTCTATCTTTAGCAATCTCATCTAACCTCTCATTAATTTCTTTTATGTTGCGAGCAATGCCATGGTACCTATAAACCCGAGGAAAAGAAAAGCATCGGAGGAAAAGGCATACCTTCCTCTTAAGAAAAGAAGCATTTTCAGCTCCATCTGTTGGCCGATTCAGAAGTACAGTTCTCCACTCATCTAGAGCATCCTCCATGTCAAGAGACTCTTCCTGCAGCCGATCTAACCATAACTGGACAGTTTTGTCTGATATTTGCTTTTGCTCAGCATCTTCAAGTAAAGCTTTGATGGATGTGAGATTGAATTTGAGCTTTCTCA